GAGTTGATCTCAAAATTATGGAACTTATGTTATTTCCAGCACCTTCTTAAAAACACAAACAGCACCCTTCAAGAACCCTAAAGTTTACGCTTCTTACTCTGTTCCAACATGACACTTGCGGTCTACAGCGGATCGGATTAACACGTCCATTTTCCGTGGCAGGTACAGCACGGTCAGATTTTCACACCCGTTTAACATTATAATATTTATAAGGCTTTCAGGTGTGGAAATCTGACCGCAACTGAGGTATCGACATGTTGCACGTAGGATTCTAAGGGGAAAGGGTTTGTGATGTTTTAGAAGTCAAGAAGCGCAACTTTTGGCACCCCAGTGTATGTTATTTATATTTGCGTAAGCAGGTAGTTTTGACTATAAACCCTTTGATCATGAAAGATCACCTAGGCTACCAGGAGATCAACAACTTGATGTTTGATTTGTTGTGTTAAGCTCATGCTTCTCAGTGTCCGTGGCATGCAATTCCCCCTTTGTTTGGATCAGTTCATTTGCCTAATTCTCATCGATCCGCATCCATGTTCCACCATTGCCCAGCCCATCAAGATCCCTTCACATTCTCGCTCCTCATCCTCGTCCAAGCGGCTTTCCCAAGTCTCATGTTCTGTGTTCTTTTTCGACGGCATTCTCCAAGCCTCCCACAGTACCAAGGCCCACTTGCTACCTTGCTACCTTTTTTCGACCCTCAACTCAAGTGTGACCCATGTTCCATACGTAAGTTTCCCCCCAACCAAAATCTAGGGACCACATGAATCATGTGAGGGCTTCAAGACTTACCCCCCGCTGCCCTTGAAGCCTGAGCAGGAAGTGCGTCCCCTAGTCTAGCCATGCTTAAGCACGCCACCTCTGACTCCGGCTTTCCTCCTCCTCCTCCTCCTCCCTCCCCCCACAACAAAACAGTGTTGACATGGCAGAAACCCTAGGCCGCATCAATGGAGCACGGCCTGCAGACGACAGCAGTATATTGGGAGGGGCAGATGAACTCCTGGCGTGGCGTCTTTGGTCAGGCAAGTTGTGCAAGTTAGCATTAACTTTGATATTTTCACGCAGTACAAGTAAGTTTGACGCCAACTGGTTGAGGCAACATATGGCCAGAAATGGACATGGAAGCTGGTGGATGATCGAATCCGGTCACAGTGGGGTGTCCCTGCCATGGATTGGTTTTTGCTGTGCCTGTTGGGAAATGCTGTGACATGACAGGCTTGGATGCCTGCGACGTTGCGAAAGAACCCTTCGTCTTTTACGGGGTGCTTCCGGCACTAGTTTGAGCATGTTTGAGTGCTGATGTGACGAGCGTTTCTAGGATTCATGCGTGATTATGTTTTTCCACTTATGTAACAGTAACATGTTTGGAGATTATGATGTAAGGAGCACTTTAATGGTTGAAATTTCTGAAAGCAAGCAACCTGATGATCAGATCGAACCAACACCACAGCTTTTCAAGGTCGCGACATCAAACATATTGCCACATCGCAACTGTCTGAAGAACAACTGGAGCACTTGACATATCCAGAGCACAGGTGGTCGAGCTTAACCATTTAACATATATATATATATTACTACTACATTCTTATGGATTGAGTCTCCTCAACTGGTTCAACCTCTGATGAACTTGAACAATCAAAGGCACTACCAAAATCCATGTTGCCACTCCCAAGGAACACTAGGAGAGACCCTGCACAAGGTCTCCCAGCAGTTGAAAACATTGTCCTTAACTACTAGTTTCCCTGGGCTATAGGTTAGGAACATACAACGGGGTTGGATCTTGCATGCGCTTTGGATTGTCACCCACAGGCACCATGCACATGTCCAACCCTGACATGTAGGATCGTGGCTATTTTCGCAAGTATTACGGCGACAAGGATATTTACGAGATCGAGCTGCTGCCCTAGATTGCCCTAGTGTGTGAACGCGTTTGAAACCGTGGAAAAGAAGCAGTAAAACTTCAAAAGTATTCGAAAGTATTTTTCCAAAACATTGGCTGAACTCCAGGCCTACCAAGAAACGCTTCAACTTCAGCTTCTTCCCAACTGGAACCACGGATCCTTTGAACAGGCCAGAAGGGACTGGCAAAACCTGTTTGTTCCAAGTCCTGCTAGCAGCAAACATACCAAACCAGTCAGATCTCGTTGTTCTTCTTTTCGTTTGTCAGGAAGCCGGCTGGTGAGATCTCTCGTTCAGATGTCTTCGCTGCTGTCATGAGAAGCGCCGTCTCTAAGCAGCATTTTACTTGAGCCGTGTAAGCATAAGAGTTGCCTAGAACATCGACGATAAGCATGCTGCTCGGTCATCACTAGGGATGTGTTTGGATAGAATAGAAAACATATTTTGACCACGGGAAAGACTGAAGCCCTGGCTCCTGCAACACACGAAGACGAAGGAATTGAATGTACAGCATGTTGACCAAGGTCGCTGTGGATCTTGACTACAAGCTCTCCCAAGCCTAGGTGAGATTAGCCATTGTTCAGTGAGTTCGTGTTTGTTCTGATTTCTGTAGATGATGATGTTCTTTGATGTTCTTTGGTTGTTGGCCGTTCCAGGTGAAAAAGCAGCTTGGAATGCTGATCTATTGACCTATTTGAGTAGCGCTCCTTTTTTGGCCGTGATGGAGTGGTTGTCAACAGCCTAAGCACTCGAAAAGCTTAACGGCTTAGAAAGGAGCACGAGCGGTTTTGCTTGGCATGCTGCTGTCTGCGGTTGGTTGAAAAGCTGCAGAGTCAGAAGCTCTTGGAACTTCCCAAAGAACCTCCAAGTAATTCAAGCAGGATTCAGGACCATGTTTTAGTTGCCCGCGTGAGATATTTTTGTGCGAACCTTTCTAATATATATAATTATTGAAGCCGCCAATGAGTGTGACGTTGCGAAAACAATTGAATGCTCGCCAGGTCAATGAAAACAAAGACAGTGGAGTGGCTTTTTCGCCAACATCAGGACAGCGAGCACCTTCCGTTGAAAGTGGCGCCCATTTCAAGTCCAATTGTTAACTGGTAGGTTGGCACTGTGGGCGTGCTGGCGTTGGATTGTGAAGGTGCATTGTGGGATCCCCGATGAATATTAGGTTGGTACTAGGGTGGAGGCCATCGCTATTAGGTCCTTTTGCTACTAGGTTGGAGGCCATTTCTATTGTGGGATCCCCGACGAATATTTGTGACACCTGCACTCCCGCCAACTTGTTTGGCAGGCCATGACTGTGCCATCGTGAAAGGTCTCATTGATGCCTGTAAGCAGCGGAGAGAGTGGTGCGCCCGTGTTTCTTTGTTTCTTATTATAACTGATTTTGAGTACTATGGATTGCTTGACCAAAGCATTCTTGTTGATCTTGTTGGTGCGGCATGAAGCATTCTAGTGGGAGCTTGGTGGCATTTTGGCTTTCAACCAGAACGTGTAGCGGATGCCGTGCGTTTAACGTGCCGGCCTCGCTGCATTACCCTTTCATTTGCAGAAGCTTTTAGATTCCAGCTTTGGACATCTCAATTGATCGGATTTGGGGAATTCAAGAATTTGCTTCTTATTGTTGCTAGTAGCAAGGCACTTGTTTCTAATAGCTTCTTGTTACTACTAGTAAGGCACTTGTTACTAGAAGCGATGCACTTGTTTTGCAGAACTGCAGCAGAACACCAGAATTGTTGAAACAAATTACTTCCGGGTCTTGACTGACTTCAGGAGATGGCAGCTGTGCTTGCCGACACTGACAGCAGGCGGGCTCCGTTTACAGAACATCCGGGAGTCGGTAAGTCGCACCATGCCAGGGAGTGGCAAGATGTCTTGCGCATCTCCGAAGACCTCCGGCTGGCTGTTTGTTTTATTCTCAGTGATGCATTTCTGATGCAAGAAGCATTGCCATCTCAGAATCTTGAGATTGCAATGGCCATAATGGCTTTTGCAGGTAGAATCCAGGCAAAGCTTGCATCTGAAAGGCCCGGATAGAACCGCGCAGAGAGCTATATATTCTTGTATGTATCAGTTATACGTGTACATTGACATATATGCATGCATCATGCATGTCAGAACCAGACCTGAAAGCTGAGTCTGAAACGCATCTAATTCCTTTGCGAAGGGAGATCTTGCTAGCTGACCGTGCAGCCGCAGCTGCAGAAAGGGTCGCAGCAGCAGCTGAAAGGGAACAAGCGGAGCGCTTGGCCGCTTGGACTATTGTGTACATCACCTATCTAGCCACTATTTAAAACCTGTGCTGAAGTGAATACATGTAATATCACTGTAATCGATTACAACCGGTAAGGCAGCTTAGAAAAAGTTTGTTTCATGCTCCGACAAATGTTTTGAGATGGTTGCATAGAACGATAAGCTCAGCGGAACCAGAGCAAGACTTCAACCACCTTCAGATTTCAGACAGAGATGGTGAAGTCTTCCACCGATCTGAAAAGCAGTGGTCGCGTTCTGCTAATTGCCATGTCCATGTCCGACAATGGAGCTGGAGCAATTTCAGAAGAAAGGTCAACAACAATTAACACTCCATAGGTTGACCGACGCGGTGGAAGCACAGGCAAGAAATGTTGCGAAGGCAAAGCACTCCCAAACAGTTTTGACCAATCAACATCAATAGTTTACTAGTGACTAATAACGCCTACCATGTTTGTCGTTGGAAAGACCACAGGCTACGTTACAGTACGTGAGAGACAGAAGGCAGGAGTCTTTTGATTTTTGCTGTCGATTGCAATGAGGTCCGGATGATCTCGACAGCTGCCGAACGATGCGCAGGATGGAAAGGTTGCTTTTCATCTAATTAAAACATTGTCCTTTCCTGTGACCAATTGAAGTCATTTTAGTGCTGCCCTAGACCATTGCCTGAAGGTTCCTTCCAGCAACTCCCCACAATAGAAAGTTCCTTCCATTCCATGCAAGGTTCTGCCAAAGATGTCAAAGAAGCTAAAGCCTTAGCACAGCTTTGAATTCGTGGTGTCTCAGACCAATGCTGTTCTTATTTAGGGCCATGTCATGCCGTGTTTGTGGATTTGCTTGAGTCCTTACGGGTCCTTCAGAGTTTTAGGTGACACAGAGTGGTCGAGCCTTCCCAATGCAGTGATCCAAGACTTCTTCAGTTCTTGTAGGTTGTGATGGTTTTGACCTCTTGAGCCCAGGTCTAGTCCGAGCGCAGGAGTTGCCCAAAGCTGAGATGGATCAATCGAAAGACCTGGTGGATTGTGTTTGAGACTTCTCATGTGCTATCATGTGCTCGAATCAGCTTCTCAAACTCCCTGTTGCAAGGCTCCGAAAGGAGTTGTTGTGAAGCAGCCTCCGCAGCGGCCTGCGCAGCCGAGCTCTTGAGTTTGTTCAATCCAGATTTGCCAAAGCTTTAAGAGAGGCCTACCGTCTTCAAATTTACCGTCAAGCAGTTTATGAGCCGTCCCGATAATGCCCTCCTTAACCGTTGTTCATTCAAGCCATTCAAGCATCGCTTGAATCAACACCACAATCCATTTCCATCTGAGTTTTACTCGAGCCATGAAGCCTTCAGGTCTTATGCGCTTGGTTCAGCGTCCTAAGTTGTTTTTCATCCTCATGATACCTTCAGCATTTTTGAGCTTCAACTCCCTGCACAACCCTGCAGCACTCAGTGTAAAAAGAACAACCACATTGGGCCTAGGTGCTGCACCCATCTCTCCCCCTTTCCAGGAAGATCACTGTTGCAACTCCACAGCACAACTGTGCATAATAATGAACAATAGCCACCCAGACATACAGTAGAATGCTCATAGCATACCAGAAGGTGCCAATTTATATAAGTAATTGATAACCGTCCAGCATACAGATAATAATCATCCTGGCAAACAAACGAAAAAGAAACACCTCCAGCAGCATCCATACAAGAACAGTTCTAGAACACACGATGTCTAGCATACAAAAATGAACCACTTTAGTTTCCTCCCAATATCAGTGTGGCAAACTAGGCCAAAAGCCCTTTGGATCCACCCAGTCTACAGCATACAGAAAATACAGTAATCATCAGCATACAGGAAAAGACATGTTTCATTGAGTCATTGTGGATTGTAATTGTCTTGAATAGGGAACACTTTAGATGAGTGATTCTGGTGTTATAACAATCAATTTTGATCACTACTTGCAAGACGACATGTTTGTTGGTGTCCGGTGCTCGTTGGTGTATATCTGGAAGAATATGTTTGTAGAACAAGCCGCAGCCACATGCAGAAACATGGAGAAACACTCAACTGCAGAAACAGCACCTGGACGCTCACGCCCATACAAGTCATAAATAGTCCTTATTGAAACAGATTGAACAATAGCATATTGGTACAATGTAGTGTGGAGAAGACGCTTCGGGAGTTGTGAAAGGATAGTGCAAGTGCCGTGAAAGCCTTTCTTATCTCAAAAGTTACGCTTTTAAACCAATGACAGAAACTTACAATATAGAAACTAGAGATGTTGTGTGGACACATGCACTTGTGAAATACTTGCTAACTTCTTGGAATTCACCAGGCACACACATATATACTGTGCATTCAAGTTCACTGACAGATCTACTTTGTTTGCTGGCACATTTGATTCCTTGTTGTGTAAAGGCAGCAAATGCGGGGTGCATCTATACATTGTAAGTGTGCTTCCCCGAAACCTGCATGGGCTCTATACAGTTGGGAGGATTTGTTAATTGGGCTGCGGGATCCTTCCTTGAAGGAGCAGCCTTGGGACTTAGGTCTGCCAACATGGTGCCTACGAATGGGTCCTATCCTTTTGCACCACCTATGCCCAGCCGGAGTCCACCAGCTGCCCAGACACCTTCCCAGGCAGGACGAGAGGCGAGGATACATGAATGTGTTCTTTGTTTCGTTTCATTGATCCGCTTGCATCAACTGCAATTGCCAGACCATGTTGCATATGTACTTATTGATCTTATTGGGCACGTGACGGCTCGCTTGGTTGATTGCAGGCTTCGCTTGAGAACACGGAAGGAGGGTCAGGCAGGGCTGTTCGCAAGCTTGTTTTCTACATGTTCCCATCAAACTCACCGAAATGCCTTGCTTTAAACATGTTTTAACTACCTGTTACAGCCTGCTACCATTGCGGCGGCTTTGTTCACAAAGCTTCTGGGATCGCCTGTGCCACGTTGTGCCACTGTGAAGCGGTTCAGGTGCTGCCAACGGTGCCAACGGTGGTGCCAACGGCGGTGCCAACGGCGGTGCCAATGGCGGTGCCAATGGCGGTGCCAACGGTCCGCGAGTGAAAGCTCCACCAGGGCGCCGCACGAATTCTGGACCAGCAGCTTGGACCCTGGGAGCAACCTGCATTGCCATTCGCTTGTCACTGCTGTGTTTTGTTTGCCTGCTTGAAGGCCCAGAACATCAGAACTTGGGCTTTACTAGGAACCTTATGGAACCTTGTGAAACCTTAGGCGGCTTAAAGGTATGATTGATATCTATTCACGAAAGGTAGCCTGGTAAGGACTACCTTGAGTTTGCTTTGCGAAGCAAAGGGACTGGCTTGAGAGCCTGCTCGGGACTAAAGATTGGTAGATCAATGTCTAACACCCCCACCCCTCCCATGTGATGATTCATTGATAAATCAATTGTTTTGCACCCCCTCCCCTCCCCTCCCCTCTCCCCTCCCCTCCCCTCGCCAGCACTACTAGCATTCTGGACACACC